GGAACAGTCTGCTGAAACAACAATTGAGCTTAACAAGCGCGGTGATTTGATCAGAAGTGTAAGGACCTTGTTGGGACCTTTGTGGTTCGGCTTTGTGTGCAGTGCCTGCTCGGAACGAGCGACGGTATGATTAGGAGCAGCTGTGAGCTCTGCTCATGTCACGGGAAGCCGTCCCCACTGCCTGGGTTCTGTGGTATCAACAATGGGCCGCAGTGACCGCGGTCGTGCGCAGTGTGCATTATCCAGGCAGATCCGCGTGCGCCGGTCCCCATTGTCGAGTCGTTTCCTGATAAACGGGTCTCGTGTGTTGACTGGCAGCACTCAATGGTATTGATGGCCTTTGGAGATATAATAAAACGTCGGGGTGTAGCTCTTTTTTTTCTGTTGTGTGCCTTTTCCATTATACTCTTTCGCAGTCATCTTTTGCAGTGACTATTTTTTCGCGAATACAGGTTAAAATGGGAAAAGAGAATATTCATAACATGCCTGTAGCATCGTACGGAATATTTCATCGTGAACGCCCACTTTCCACTTACTAGAAAATGCCAAATGTAATGTAACATGGATCTATCAGCTACGAACTCTGGCACCAATAACCTGATTTTATCGGGATTTTTTTTTCCCGGCCGGGACCCGGTGGCACTTTCGAACCCTCCCGACTGGCAACCGCAGCTCATGGCATACCATTCGTCCTTCATTGGGACTTTCCATCAACTAGTTACATGTGTTATCATTTCCAGAAATACGTAAGGTAGCGATATTTCCGAGTGTATCCGGCCCCCATGCCGTGACTACTGCTCATACTCGGCGTCAGTGGCGTCCGCCGCCCGCACGCGCAGAGCTGCCCGCTGCGGGTCCGTGCTCCCCCCCCCCCCCTCCCACAGCGAGACGAGTCGACTAGACACCCCTCCCCATCCCCCTAAAAACGACACTCTCCCGGGTCCCCGACAGACGCCGACCCCGCTCCCCAGTCACCCGGCGAGCTTGTGAAGTGTCAATGCCGACCGATAGATGGCACTGGTAGTAGGCGCCTGGATTGATACTGTGCCGCAACACTATGTGTGCCTTGCAGCGAATGGAAGGCCGGGTCGGTGTAGGAATGGCGCCTACCGACTTCCGCCGGACCCGATGCAAATTGGGGATACGATAGTCTACCTCTTCTTACATTGCGGTGCGACTTGCTTATGAATCGTTTCCTTACGCCAAGCAGTCCACCAAGAAGTTGAGAGGACTGTAATGTCATTAGTTCGACGAGTTAATGAGGAAATAAAATGCTACCGTGTTTTTACTCACCATGCATGGAAACACAGAACCACAGAAACATGATAAGGCGGCCCTTGTCAATGGCAGCCATTTCAGGGCCGCTGTGAGCAGTTGGCTTGGGTGAGAGGGCCGGAGGGGAGGGGAGGTGGCATTATGGCATAGCTCAAGAGGTCACGACTGGCGCTGAATAAACGGCAAGAACTAACGGTTGGGGGCCCACCACTCAGTGTCTGCAGCCTGCCGGAACGCCGGACAAAGCAGCCCACTCGTATAAAAGCCGAGCGGATCGAACGACTGACAGTTCGCTAACTGCAGAGAGCTCAAACAACCACCACTCCAATCATGAAGGTAGGCTGTCGCTTCATTGTTGAAAAGCACGAGTCAAAATCCAGTTCAATTTGCGTAAATTAAAAAGTTATTTGCTTGATGTTAAATTTTTAATGTTATTAAACCTTATTTCGATACGTACCTGATTTAATAGACGGGCTTAGTTGTGATGGGCAGATGGAAACAGATAACTTGGTTATTTTTTACGTCGCTGCCTTCTTGCAATCAATACAAAGAAAAAAGATCTGCCGAGAAAGCAGAAGAGAAATGATGGGATCAGCGAAGTTCATGTCCAGTGCCATTTCAACACGATTGTCTTTCATGCTCTACCCGTACCAAGCGATTTTTCACAACTTCCTGTTTTCCTCTGCCGTTGCTGAAATTGCTCCATAATTCTAAGTTCGTGCGTGTTTATCCTCAGTTGGTGTTCCTGCTCGCCTGTCTTCTGGCGGTGGCCGTCGCCAGCGGCTATTACGACAATGACGACTACGATTACGGGTACGGCTACGGCCGCTACTACCCGGGCCGCTACGGCGGCTACAGCCGACACTACGGGTACAGTCGGCACTACCCCAGCTACGGCCGCGGATACGGATACAGCCGGCATTATGGATACAGCAAGCACTATCCCACTTATGGATACAGCAGGTGATATCCGGGCGGCATCGAGACGGAATGACCCATGGCTCTGGCGCTGCAATGATCAAGGACTTGCCCCGGATGATGGTCGATTACGAAAGAAATCGTGAGTGCATGGTGAACTATACGTTTTTGACTGGCTTTTGGCCATATGATGTGGATCCAATTGTTTTGGATTTCTCCTGAACATTGAGCACTCAACAATGCCTTTCTTGCGCATCTTTCTTTGCTTTGATACGTACTTGTTTCCACGTCGTTGCATTATTATTGAATAAATGCAAAGTTTCACTAAGCTGCATTTGATGCTGTTTTAGGTAGGTAGGTAGTGTTTTATCACCATTCAGCCTCTTTCATATTACAAAACGACAATAACTAAGAACATTGCATCAGGAAATTCAAAGTGACGGGTAAGATGCTGACCACGAAAGCTCGCCACTCACGCCATAATCAGAGAACACACTACATATTACATTGTGTGTTGACGCAAAGGAACTGCTGCAGATGAGAATGGCACTCAGGCGTCACTTAAAAATGAGTTTTGGAGATGCGTCCTCTGGTGTCCATCTTCATGGGTAGAGTTCCTGACGACCATAGACTCCGTGGGTGAAAAAAGAAGGCTTACGCTTCAAGATGTCATGGATACCACAGAAAATAACGGTAAAGGCGTGCTACACATTATTTGAAGATTTATGCGTATTTCTCATCAGACGGACAAGTTGCTGCCAGTCCAGTCAGCAGCCAATTTTTAATGTTTATTCATAGATATCCCTGTATGTACGCTGTACGCTGCACGGTGCATAGAGGTCCATGGTTTATTGCTCGAAAAAGATTGAGGCTAGGAGGAGCGGCTCCAGATGGCTCCTGAAGTCGCGGACCAAGGCCCCGACGTCGTCACCGTCGTGCAGATGCGCAGGCTCCACGTGGATGCTGTCGAGCATATGTAAGTCATGGCCGGACTCTTTCTTCCGGCGAATCTGCGGAGACCGAATGCCGCCAGCCCGGTCTCCGGCGTGACCAGGAGCGAGGCGGTGGAACTGGACATTCACCAGCGGCGGGCCGGTCACTGGGGATTGGCCAGGCAGAACCCCCTCCCCCCGTTGAGGTCTGGCATGTTGCAGGTCTTTTTGGGAGGGGGGGGGGGCAAAAGTCGGATAAGAAAAATGCAAATGGCGTTCGAATTTTGAAAGATCTAATCGTTATGCACAATTGCACAATGTTAAGTCTCGATGACATCCATTTTGTGACCTGTGACGTCACAGTAAAGGCAAAAAGATCAAATATATACCGGTTCACAATGGCATAGTTTCTAGTACATAAAGTGGACTTTTACCACGCAAAAGAGGCGAGACTTTTATATTCGTCTGGTAGAGATTGACAGATATCATAGACTTTACCCATAGACAAAGTACAAGCACAAATGTTGAAAATAATGTGATGCCATAAAAAGGTTCACAAAATATAGTCTTTCGATTATTTATATCTCTAATAGTATTAGAGCTATTTTGTTGGTTGTTAGCATATGTAAATGCAAACAGTTGTTCTCTGACATATACGTATTCCGGCTTTGGAAATGTACCAAAATTCCAAAAATATCTAGATTATCTAAAATTTCAGATAAAACACCACGAAACCTGCATATTTACATCTTTTGGAAAATTTTGAGATCACAGTTTTCTTTGTCATGTTTCTCTTTTTCACAGACGGCTCGATTTTTGAGTCTCTATGATGGATGACAATATGATTTTCTGCCTTTTTCCATGAACAACTTCTTACACCAAAAATGGAACATGACCTCAGTTTGACCTAATAGCTCATGACCTGAGATGACCTAAGACCCATTTGTTTTAGGAGATGCGCGAATTTGACGTCCAGAGAGTTGCTGAAAACAGCGAGACAAAATTCATGGCTGTTTTTGTAGCTATCTGCGAGAAAACGCAGGGGCTCCTTTGCCTGGGTCGCGGGCTAATGCTTTTGGAGACGTTATGGGCAATTTGATTGAAATTGTGAATTGGCTTTTGATGTATCGCTGCCGAACATAAACAAAAGATACTTTAATTCTTAGTTGGTTTCTATTACATGTCTTTCCTGTGAACTATTGCTTCTATTCACGTATGTACTTATAGCGTGAACGTTTTACAGTTAACTTACGATTGGATTTTAATAGTTTTTATCACCTGAAAATAGTTTACGCTCAGTTTTTAAAATGCCTTCCTCGTCGAGAAGTTTTCGTTGTTGTTAAATCATAAAATTAGTTGGTATTAAAGTTCATTTGTTATAGCACTTGCAAGTGCTATAACACTTGCAAGTGCTATACAGCATGCTGTATGTAAGGCATAGGTTTAAGTTCTATGAAAAAAAAACACTTTTAAATGGCCTCCTTACAATGAAAAAGTTGAAAAAGCTCAAATGAAAAAGAAAAAGAAAAAATATATAAGTTCGGTCTGGCTTATTTTGATAATGACCTGTGGTCGAAATCATCAATAGGCAATTATCTAATTATGTCATCATTTGGTAGTTCATTGTAAGGAGGCCATTTAAAAGGTATTGAAATTAAAGTTCCATGCATTATAGTTTACTCTATTCACTGTCAATTCACTAAAATATCATAGTTCCACTAGTAGGCCAGAAATAAGTTTACAAAAAAGGCCAGTATTTTACGGGCGTGAGCATGGCGTTCTTTATCAAGACGTGTACTCGTACATTCCTCGCAATCTTTGAACTTCTCGACCGATGTAACATAGCACATTAGCACCAAACTAGAAGCATGGTCATTGAACGTTTATTTCCACTTCACGGAACACTAAGCGAAACAGAAACGCATAGATAGCATAGATCCTATAACGGAACTCGAAGTTATAAAAGGAGATCAAGAACACCCAGTGTGGCTGAAGAAAAGAAAGTAGTAACTTGTGGTCTGTGTGCGTTAGTGCATGGGTGGTGATTTGTATGTGGGTACGTTGTTGTTTTTGTGTCATATAATGAGCAGATAATGTATCCTTTCCTTATTCAATCTAACCTAGGTATCGCAAAAGCGTCGATCATGCTGTCTTTCAGCCATCACTTTGCCGGCAGTTTTGAACGGGTGACGCTGCCATAGGCTGTCTTGCTGAGCTCCGTTTAGAAGAAGTATTTATATCCAAAGCCTGGGTAGCGCCGGCTGTATCCATAGTGCCGGCTGTATCCGTATCCGCGGCCGTATCCGGGGTAGTACCGACTGTACCCGTAGTGTCGGCTGTAGCCGCCGTAGCGGCCGTAGCCGTAGCCGTAGTCGTAGTCGTCATCGTCGTAGTAGCCGCTGGCGACGGCCACCGCCAGAAGACAGGCGAGCAGGAACACCAGCTGAAGGGAAAATACATTGCTAGTGAGCACACAACGCCTCGTTTTGCGTCTCTCAGTATGCAGATAGGTGAGAGGAGATTTACGAGTACACTTAGTTCGTTAGCTTTTAAATGAAATGGGCTATGTCAGGGAGGAATTCCTTGTGCGGTTAGAGCTAGGTAATTTAACGTCAATTGGGGATAACGAACAGGAATGCAAAATAAATATCTTCTTCATCTTTCATCAGCAATGTTTCCTTTTTCCCTGAAAATTTGCTTAATCCGGAGATTAGCGTATTGAATGGAAATCTACGGGAAAGAGCTCGCTTTGAATATATGGACAATATATGTGCAATTTTATAATCGGAACTTCAACTATGCTTAAAGGACCTATTATATACAACATACGAGATCTTATATCTTTTAGAAAGGTAATAATGTCTTATTTCTAGACCAAAGCCTTAGAGAGGGGATTATACTTACCTTCATGGTTACAGTGAGAGTCACTGAAGGACCGTAGACCTCTGGTAGCCAGGGACTGTGGAGTGTAGACTGTGCTGACTGCCGTGACAGGCAGCCTTTATATGGCCGGACGCTGTCCTACCCATGTTCCGACACAATGCACTCTGTACAGTGCACAGTCACAGTGCACGCGCTGGGTTTGTGCGCTGAGTTGTGTCAGAAGGCTGCGCAAAACGCGTGCCACGGAGCTTGATCTATAGTTACCGTCAGCTGGAGTAACTAACTACTCGGAGAGTTTGACAGCAACACCAGCGAAGGTGAAGTGTGCGACATGGAAAACTTTCTAACATTTTGTTACTGCCCTTTCGTGCGTTCACTTCTAAAATATGTTGATTGCTATCTAATAAGCGTTCGTTCAATACTACCGGTCTCGAGCATAATGTGTCCAAATACCGCAGACACTTATCCGACAAACGTAAAATCGTTCCATCTATTGTAATTCAGAACATGAGGCAGCACTCTCGCTTATAATTCGCCTCGGGGAGACATGCTAGGCGAGTCGAGAGAGGCCTGAACTGAGTCTCTAACAGCTAGAGCTGCTCTAAGTCCTCAGGGTCCCGAGTGCGTACCCCAGTAACGTGCGCAACCTTATACAGGGAAAATCGCAAATGGCCGTATAATATAGTGTTCTTACTGAGTGTGTAGTCTATGACATAACAGCAATGGAATCACACTGATAACAATCACAATCACAAAACACTAGCACTAGTGATTGCTGGGGATGAGTTGCCCTTCAGCCAAGATTCCTTTAATACACAGGTTGGTTCACTAGGGAAATAAAGGCGCCGTGGTGACGTCATCACAGGAAATCCTTCACGTTCAAATGAAGGGGTCATTTGAATTGCTGATTTTGGCTCGATGTAGTCCTATTTTTTTAAGTTTCAGCCCCATTTATCGTAATGAGGCGAACTCATTGTTACATTGGTACAACTTTTGATGGCACATAATCCTTGTTTTCTCCTCCAGCTCGCTCGAAAGATGATGAACTTTGCATGCATGCCTATGGGTGAAGGGGGATTCTATCGCCGTGGTGACGTAGCGGTAAAGGGATTCTGGAGCTCGTGAACGGGGGCTGCCCTTCAGCAGCACAACAGGACATACAGCTCGACCGTGCCTCAAATCGGGCTTCCACAGCACATACACATATTTCCGCATGGTATAATCACCAGAAATCTAAGTGCGGGGTAGATAGCTCTATTATGTGTATCAGTGACTTGACGCATTCGCGAAGTAATCCGACATAAAAGAAAACTGGAGACAAAATAACCTGTTGACAAAGAGATCTGTTGAAGTTGAGAAAGCCTATCGCTTTGTCATTCCTACGGCGTCGATTCAGAGCCAAGGTAGTCTTAGTAGCCAGGCCACGTACTGACTGTTTCAACTCAAAGACAAATTAGAAATAGCTCTTCAAAACTCTAAGGAGCCTCAGATGATTCACAGATTGTTATCGTCTACTATCCGGTAGAATTGCCGACTGCTGGTGCTGCCACTTCAGAGGCAGGCGTGAACTCTGTCAGCTGGAACTGAGCCATGACAATGACGTAGGTGAGGATGGTGGACAGGATGCTGAGCATGGTGGAGCGCCGCAGTCGGTACAGGCCCAGGTCGCCGACTGTGTCTAGGTCGCGCGCCACCGACCTCTGCAGCAGCTCCAGTTCCGTGCGCAGCTCGGGCCGCCGCTGCCACTCCAGCTGCAGCAGCGCGTCCCGCCAGCGGCCCAGACACCCGAGCAGCAGCTGACACGTCTCACACGGACCGGCGACGGTCACCAGAATCCCGGGGATGTAGCGCATGATTCTGCTGATGGTTTCAGGGCTGTGGTTTCCGGGATAGGTGAGGTACAACGCTAGTGTAATCTGCATCACTACACCGCTCAGGGCGGTTGCTATCAACTCGGGCGTCATGGAAGAAGTCAATTCCAAAAATGCTTCAGAAGCCGATTTTTGAAGCTCTCCGACGCGTTGTATGTGAGCGACGTCAATGAGTCGAGAATCGCTGGCCATAACTTCCAGCTCCATGGTCAAAGCACGCAACCCAGACGCTATCAGTTGGCCAGCAAAAATGAACTTCAGAGATACCAGCAAGACGCACATAGTTGTAAAATTCTGGAGGAAGATTCCCAGAAAGAATAAAAAACAATTCATTGAGGAGCTACCATTGCAATAAATCAGAATGCGACTAGTATCAGATCCAAAATACACCAGCCAGAACATTATGGTGAGCGCCAGCATGCGCTTGCCGTAGTCGTTTGGCTTCATCCTCCCTGCCGTCAGATATGCAGTCTTCTGTACTTTTTCGAGGAGATAGCGTATGCTTGATAAAACAATCGGGTATCTAAGTCGGCCCCGTAGAAGTGTTATGATGAGCGCAATGCATGGTGCCACATTTGGTATTCCAAGAAATCCCGACAAGTAAAGTGAGTCAAAAAACTGATTCCCTTTCTTACGAGCTAGTATGTATGTGCTGATACCCGGATATAAGCTGTAAAGAAGCATGGATGCCGGCGGGCCAAGGATCATCACGGCATACAAGCTGGATGCAAAGCTAGAACTGCCAGAGACCCCGGCAATGCGCAGCAGAACCAGAAAGGCTCTGGACCACTTTGTAAAGAGACTGCTTGGTGCGCGTGCTCCATTACTGGTTCTTGCTAACTCCATGTCGTTCATTTGCGTTGATGCGTTGACAACAGTTCTTGTTCTCTTATTTGCCCACCGCATCACTGCTGCTAAATGAAAGAATTGGCTGTGAGACACTTCCCTCTGTTTCGATCGCCTGGCCTTTCTTGTTTCTTTCTCATCAGCTCTTCACATCTAGCTGCTTTGTTTCTTTGTCGACGTTGGTTATCCCCTCTTTTCTGGTTATCCCCTTCGTCCTCTGTCACTCGTTTCCTTTAGTTAATTATGCATTTCCATTTCCTCCTCTCCCATTTACCAGTTCTATTGTTCCTCTTATGGACTCTTTTGTTTTTGCCCTTCGAGACTTCTTAGAGAGTTTTCTGCCTGCTTGTCATGTTTCTTGATGTTTTCAATCAGCTATTACGCACTCAGACTAGTGTAAAATTGAACGCAAGGCGCCATAAAATCTCTGAGAAGTCTGACCTTTCGGATAATCTAGGAGCACTTTATCAAGAGGCCTGTATAGGTACAAGTCACTTTACAGGTCTACCCTGCTCGGCCTCCTAGCGACGACTGCCACGTCTGGCAACTTGCGGTGTGCTCGGCGTACCTGACGTCAAAGAAGCCATGAGAACTCACAACACACATCCGGGGAGCCACTGTCGGCGCGACAGCGCGGTGGATCGAAGCACTATGGACCACGAGCGGCAGCGTCAAAGAACGGCCATCTCAATTTTCGGGCGACACGTCCAACGATCGCTTTATATAGTCACTCTGTCATCGTGTTTGTCCGGGGTCGCCTGCCGTGCCAGGCTCGCCGCTCTTAGCCGCCAGTATATGTTTGCTGTCCGCGATGGGCGCCCGCTCCACCGGCTATTGAAGTACAGCCAGCAGTGCACAGGCTGTGGTGTGCCGTGTATGCGCCTGCTTTGTCGGAACCACAGTGTTTGGTGGCGTCGATGGGTCATTCGTTTCACATTCTGACGCCGACGAAATGGGCGACAGCTCTCTTTCCAAGCCCTTGTTTTGGAATCGTCTCTGATGATCATAGTTTTGCAACTGGTTGAGAAGATCGTACTATTATTTACGTGAAGACAGAATTTCCCATGCATAATTGACTTTCTGATGAAATACACGTTTTTTTCGGGAATAAATGTATTTTGCTTTCGTTTTTCAGTCACAAGAGGTTCAACGCTCATACATTGGGTCCACCTGTTACCGCAATTGACCTTAGGATGGCATAAAACACAGCCTAGGTTTTAATGTCTTTAATAATGACCCAAATACCACATTCCTAACTGTTCAATGCCACATTTAAAATGGCGTGCATCTGTGCAATGTTTCCGATTTTTGACTGGTGTGTAGAGCGGTGTCCTGGCTCGTTGTCGTTCTCTGATTCACAGATGACCATCTCAGAGCGGGTGGACGCCGGTTGGATAGGCCGCCATCGTGGCCACTCCACACATGTTGACGCCCCTCTGCACGCGCACGTAGCCGCCCTCGCCCCAGGAGGTACCCCACGAGTTGGCCAGAGTCCAGAAGTCCTGCCCGGACGAGCCGTAGCCGACCAGCAGCAGGGCGTGGTTCAACTGGTCCGGCGAACAGCCGGAGTCCGAGTAAATGCCGGAGGAGTAGAGCTGCCGGAGGACAAAGGAAAGAGAAATATTCAGTTACCTGACACACAGCCCTCAGGGACACCTGATCTTCCGTGGTGAGGCTAAAACTGTCATCGGAGACGAAACGCTCGTAAACTGTTAGCGCCATGGGTGCACTTGAAAAAGTAAACGACAGACTACATAAAGAAGACGCAAATTTGAAATAACGCATGATTTGATGAAATTTAGACTTAAGGGTGCTATTTTTCAAGAAATACAATCATTACTTAATTTAATTTTAAAGCTGTTTTCTATTGCAGGCGGCGTAGGAATTCCATTTTTATTTCAAGTGTGGATCGTTTTAAATCAAAGGGAAACTTATAAATCACAAGTTTTATCTGCGTAATCCAACTCTGATTGATACAAATTCAAGCCTCCTACTGTCGCCAATTTTTTTTGCGCATTCCCAAGCAGTGAAGCTGAAGTAATTACTACATATACTTTACAGTTCACAGCAAACTAAATGTAAACCAAAGTTCGTGCCGTCTCACCTGGAATGAGAACTCAACATCGAACATCACGGGTACAGGGTTCTGCAGCAGCCCCTCCGCCAGGGCCACTTCGTCGCCCTCGAGCACCTGATGCACCTCGTCCAGACCGGCCGAGGGCGCCACGGGCTGACAGGCACCCACGCGGCCGGTGGTCGGGTAGTCCGCCTCAGTGGCCACGCCGTAATCACGGACGTACTCGAGCGCGCCGACTGTGGACGGCCAGCTGACGCAGTCGAGGAGGTTCTGGTCGCTCAGGGAGACCGTCTGTCCG